TCAGTTATAGTACCAGCAAATACATTCACTGAGCTAAACCCTAGTTAGTAGTATTAGAAATAACAGTGGTAGTAGCAGCACCAGTCCTGGCTTACTATAGTCTGGCTAGACACCCACTATAGCTGAGTAAGGGTAGAATGTGCAGTAGTACCCGCGTAAAGTCTACTGTCACTAAAGACTAAGTTAGGCGGTATTTCTGGCTGCATCTGTAAAAAGCGATATATGCCTGATTCCTGCTCGGTCATCTCGACTTTGTCTTACCACTGATAAAGAGGGGAGAGGGTTTAGAGTGGGGTACATGTCGGCGCGTCTACTTTCACTATACCTGACCACAGTCGCTGTCCCTGCTCTCGGGCAAATGGTGGATATCCTTGCTTGCGATTGTCGAACTAACACATCTATAGTAATAGTAATTTTAAAAAAGACAGTAGCAAAAGTTTATAGAATGTGTTGTCATTCAAAACATAAAATTACTGGCTTTTGGCGTTTTCCGGAAATATTTATTATAATTATTATCCAATTTGCACGCGTTTTTACCGAAGTGCAGCACAATAACCTCGCCGCCTATTTTTCACGTTTAGTGATCCGTATGTTGATGATGATGAGGATGAGGACGAGGATCAGAAGAATGCCGCTGACGAACCCCTGGAAGTCACCATCGATTTGGGCTGTAATGCTCTTAAAAATGCAAAACGGTACGTTTTATCCTCCCGCCCTATTTTTCCTATTGTCCTCCCCATTTCTCAGGCCATTCATTTTTTCTCAGTTTATTTTTTGGTGAGGGTAATAGGCAATGCCTTTGAAAACCCTATGAATTACATGCCGGTGCGTCACACACATCTGTACATGCACGTGTAAAATGGGAACTATTAAATTAGTGAGTAGCACGATCTTTATAAATAAATCTTGTCTGCAGTTTATGTGGTGTTAGATCGTGTCGAGGGACAACAGGGCACACATGGAGTTATCCAAGCGTTGTTTGAGCAGCTGTAGGGGCTTTGTCTTTACGTCTGATTGCGGGAGGTTATTCCACCGGCGTATAGCCCGTTGCGTGAAGAATTCAGAGTGGAAATTAGGCTTGGACATCTTCGTACGCAGCTTTATTGTGTGTCCACGGAGATGAGGCGAGGGATGCCACTGAAACATGTCCTCAAAGCGCAATCCTTTCTTGAGATCGTGTATTATCTTGTAAAGTAAGATAAAATCCCCGATAAATTCCAGACGTATCTCCACTGTGCCCAACTTGCCCCTCTAGGTAGCTTTGTTTTACTGGTGCTCTGTATTGTCCATGCAGAACTTGCGTAAGCAGTTTTACGAACCGTAATACTGTGTTACTAATTTCATGCTTAGCGTTTGCCTTCTATCTGCTAGGTGACACTCGAGTTCGTCCCGCTGTCTATAAACACCGTACCCTCCTCAGCATTGACAACTAATACACTCGTAAATAAACACTTCAAAAGTCTAGAGGATGTTACCAACATAATCAACGATGTCTCGATGCTTCTATTTAAATGGAATAGAAGTATGTACAACTGAATACCATAAGGCAGGAAATCTATGTTTCA